GCCCCGGTGGGGGGGGGGGGGGGGCGATCCCCCGGAGCTGGTTCCTCACTGATTGCGGATCCGTTGCTCTGTTTCTGTTTCGCTCTGTTAAGTCGCGATCTCGGAGTCTTGTTGGAGTGCCCGGCGCTGATTGTGATTCCTCGTCGAGTCGGGTTGGAGTCTCTTCCGTCGGCGTTTCCACGACTTATTTCGTCGCCGTTCCCGCTAACGGTCCGGCCCGGGCACTCGGGCAGGTGGATTCCCATTCGGGGCAACGGTATCGATCCGGACTCCGGAGAGAGCCGGGTCGCCGCCAGGGAATTCGTCGCCTCGCTCCCAAGTCGAGGCTCACTCCAAGGGCTGGAACGTGGACACGGCTCAATCTCACAGTTTCAGAAATTGTTCCATTTTGGAATCATCAAAGCTTTGAAAGCTAGAACTGGGGAAAGAAAAGAAGAGACATATAGAAGAATGACACATCAGAGAGTGTCAACACTCACCACTCAAAAATTTTATGTGGTAAGTAACCAAATCCGCTGCACCGCGTTTAGCAGAGAGGAACCAAGCCACACTAGCTATTCAGGGTTGCCACAGTCAGGGAAAATCGGAAAATGTCGGGGAAAATGACGAAAATGTCAGGGAAAATGCATTAAATCACCTTAATTTGCTCTCTGGAATGGGCTTGAGGTTTCGAACAACAAATTTTGCCTGAGAACTATTTTCTTTTATGCCTTGTTAACCATCTGTCACATCTTCAATAGTTCAACTGTCAGGGAATTCCTCCAAAATGTGTCAGGGAATTCCCTGACGAAAGAAATGAGAGGAGGAGAAGGATTAACGTGTGCCCCTCGCCGGGACTGTTGCTCCGCTTTTTGCACACGCACAGAAAAAAAAGGAATTGCTGATTCAACAATTCATTGCTAAAAACAGTGAGTGCAATGTTTCAACGCAGATTTTACAACAAAAAAATGCTACTTTAACCATATTGTGAACTAATTTAACCACGGGGGTGGTTAAAGTAGCATTTTTAATGCTAATTTAGCCAGATTTTAAACTAATTAAACCACGAGGGTGGTTAAATTAGCATTTTTATGTTGTAAAATCTGCGTCGAAACATTGCACTCACTGTTTTTACCAATGAATTGTTGAATCAGCAATTCTTTTTTTTCCGTCTGTTGTTCTTCTCAGAGTCGGGTCGCTTCCAAACCGACGGATCGACAGATGGGATGGCTAAGGTGTCGGAAAAGCGGGGAAATGCTCGTGTAGTTATTTCTGGGGAGTTTTGGGTATGCCGGAAATTGGCGAGTTTTCCGACGGCATTGGCTCAGCGACGTCGCGGCGTCTGCATTTCCTCGTTTTTGATTTTGGCACGGGCGCGACCTCGCGGTGCATCGTCAATTTCGTCGAGCTTGAGGTCATAGCTCCGCACCGGAGTTACGGGTGCCATTCTCCCAAGTTGACAGCAATCTTTTCCATCCATTTATAAACATTGCAAACGAGGCGTGTAGTATCCAAACAAATCATTTGTGCTGTTTGGCGAAATCCAGTGAAAAATTTATATTCCCTTAGGATTTTTCGCCATCTTTTCAAATGCCTAGTCCGTTTGTATCACAAAAGTCGAAATCTAGGTATGCCGTGATTGGGCAACGTTTAGCAGAAAGGAACCAAGCCAAATCAGC